GAACACTGCCCTTGTCACACTGATCGTCTTATGCAATTATAGCATAATCCACCGTCATGTCGAACCAGACTTCCACGAGCTTGGGCACTCGTTGTATCCAATATCCACGCCAATTCTCGTATTTGTTCGAGTCCAGCTCTTTTCCTTCTAACGGCAGTTGCCTCCAATATCGCCTGCAGTTTTCTCCTGATCCCGTTCTCTCAGCAGCAGCAAAGTCACCACCCACATACTTGTCAAATATGTCCCTCTCAAACACCAACGAGGCCTCCCTCAGTTGGCCACCATACGCCATAACGGTGTCGTCCATGTACCCAAGAAGTTTGTTCTTGACCGCCTCGTTCGCTGTTCTATCCTCGGGCGGCGCCTCGATGACGTCGAGGATATTGTTTGCCGGCCATTCCCAACGAGCCCCAGCTCGTCTCGCCGCCAGGGGAATTATCTGCAACTTCCTCAACCCCGGAAACGCAACCGGAAGCCTACCCATGAGCGCGGCGTACGCCTCCCATCCCGGATTCAGCTTCAGTTGTTCCCGCGCAAAGATGGAGACAGTGTTGGTAGTGATGGTAAACACCAGACTGGTCACCATTGCTGCGCTCTTTGGCACAAGCAGCCGCTCGGTATACAGCACCGTGGCTCCCGTGTTGATATAGAATGTGTTCCGCGCATACAACACCTCCACTGATTCCCGATATACCTGCCGACATGTCAGTAGCAGACCCATGACTACGGCGCCAATCGAACATGTGGTTTCCGGGTGCAGGTGGCAAGCTGTCGGTGGAGGGCCGCCGAGGCCACACCGGTCAAAGGCAGGGTGGATGGCAGGGTCGCGGTGGCAGGTGCTTGCGCGCCAGGCCCAGCGCTCCTCGTGGAAGTAGGCGCCTTCGGTCGTGTGGGGACGGCCGGTGGCCTGGGCGTAACGCATATCGACATGGAGACCCTGACGATCGGCGAGGACGAGGAGGTAGATCTGGTAGCGCAGCTCGTAAGGAAGGTTCAGGAAGGTGGTCGTATCGGGTCGGTCGAGCGAGGCAGCGTGGGAGGCGGAGGGGAGGGCGGTTATGGGACGGCGGTGGGGAGGTAGTTTCGGGAGGTGGTCGAGGGCGTGCGGCCTTTGGTTATCGTCCATGTCGCTGTTGTTGTTGTTGTTGTTGTTATTGTTGTCTGCTTGTTGTTTTAGGCGTCGTCGCCGTGAAATTTGGGGGACCATGCGCCGGAGTCGGTCCATGTTGACTGTCTTTTTTGGTCGGTTGCTGCGTAACGACGGACGGCGAGGTTGACGTTGTCTGGTTGACGCGGGGCTGAAAGGATGTCGCTAGCACGCATGTCGGACGACACAGGTGAACCTTGAGGCTGCGGGGGCAATTGAGCTTGAACCAATCATATCGTTGCTGGTTCCCAATAGGGCAGTCTAAAGCGGAGCACCGCTATTTGGAGCCCCGCAATGCCGTCCCATGTCACTGACCGAGCGTCCTTCCGGGGATCGTGTTTGGCTTCAACCTCCAAGTAGGTAGGTATGTTTCCTCCACGATGACCGACCGGTGCAATTCCAAACATGATGTCAAGGTGTCCCAATAGAAACCTCCATCATTCCTCAACCATCACAACCCAGGATCTCAAGCTCGATTCTTAGAGTCAATGGATATCGCTGTGCCAAAGTGGGCGTCAGCAGCCGTCACTTTGCCCTGTTCACACCATACTGTCCAAGTCCAAATCCAACACATTGACGAAGGCGATATTCGATCATGGCGGACGTATCCTGTACCTGCCGCCGCAGACCCGCCGTACACCTCCGGTTAAATAATCTGGGACTCCTGGGCTCAATGCAACACTCCGCATTCTGGTGGCGGTCATGGTGTGTATCTCATCTACCCGCTGTCCAGGACTATGGTACTGGATGTTGGTCAGAATCTGACAGCCGTCGTTCGTAGAATCGGCCCGCGGCATTGCTTGACTCCCTGTTTCCAGTGCTTATGGTGACTGGATATAAAGCCTTGCCTCAAAACCCCGAGACCTAGCTTACATGCTATGTTCTCTTTCTACAATCGACCGGCTTGCCCAAAGTAAGCTGGACACGATGAATCTTTCCAAAATTCGAGCCACCATGGCCATGGCTGGCGTTATGCTAACCGGTATGTGCTTTAAACTCCCAAGACACTCCTAGAATTCCTTACTGACCGATAATAACCAGGGCTTGGCAGCTTGGCGGCCGCCCAGTCACCTACCTGCACCAAGCTCTCCTCCAACCAAACCTACGACTACATCATCATCGGCTCCGGCGCTGGAGGTGTGCCCATTGCCGACCGCCTCAGCGAAGCAGGCCACACCGTCCTCCTCATTGAGAAGGGTCACCTTTCCAGCGGTCGTTGGGGCGGCACCATGAAACCAGCCTGGCTCACTGGCACAAACCTCACGCGCTTCGACGTCCCAGGTCTCTGCAACCAGATTTGGGCCGACCCTGTTGGCGTCTCTTGCACTGATATCGATCAAATGGCCGGCTGTATCCTCGGCGGCGGCACCGCTGTCAACGCTGGGCTGTGGTGGAAACCCCACCCTGTAGATTGGGACAGCAACTTCCCTACTGGTTGGCAGAGCAAGGACATGGAAGCAGCTACGCAAAAGGTCTTCTCCAGGATCCCAGGTACTACTCATCCATCGGTAGACGGGAAGAGGTATCTGGCGCAGGGGGTTCGATATGCTGGGCGGTAGCTTGGCCAAGGCCGGATGGGAGTTTGTTACAGCCAATGATCAGCCGGAGAAGAAGAACAGGACGTTATGGGCACAGCACTTTCATGTTCGAGGGGGCGGAAAGGGGAGGCCCGTTGGCTACTTACCTTCTGTCTGCGAGCGGACGCAAGAACTTCTCCCTTTGGACAAATACGATTGCCAAACGTGTGGTCCGGTCCGGTGGCCATGTTACTGGTGTTGAGCTTGAGTGCAATGGAGCGGGTTATACGGGGACGGTATCGGTGACTCCGGAAACTGGGAGGGTCATTCTCGCTGCTGGTGCTTTTGGCTCCGCCAAGTTGTTGTTCCGAAGTAAGTACCACCGGTCAAGATCTTGAATGTCGCGTGCTGACTTTTCTCTCAGGTGGTATCGGTCCAACAGATCAACTTAACGTGGTCAAGAATTCAGCAGACGGGGAGACCATGATTGGTTCGGATTCATGGATCAACCTGCCAGTAGGGTACAACTTGAACGACCACGTCGGTGTAAGGATGCCGGAACACTCGAACACCTTGAGACAGATTGCTGACAAGAAACACCGACAGACCGACATCGAGATCGCACATCCCGATGTCGTGTTTTACGACTACTATGCTGCATGGAACAAGCCGATTGTAGAGGACAAGGATCAGTACCTCAGTAAGTTATGCCATTCTCTCCGTGAGTGGTAGATACTTACCGATGCCATTGAACAGACACAAGAACTGGACCCCTTGCTCAGGCTGCACCCAACATCGGCCCTATTGTAAGTTTCCCATCTTTACCTCTATGTTTGCACAGTGAGTACATCTCTTCTCACATTGTCCAGTTCTGGGAAATCATCAACGGCAAAGATGGAACCCCTCGCCACCTGCATTGGCAAGCCCGCGTTGAAGGGTCTCGAAACAGTACGTACCGGTAGCCCCGTACCCTCCGTCAACATGCAACTGCTGACGTTTAACCCCAGCCTCCATGACCGTAACTCAGTACCTTGGCACCGGCTCAGTATCCAGAGGCCGCATGGTGATAACTAGACAACTCAACACTGTCGTCTCTATTCCTCCATATCTCCGTAACGAGGCCGACAAGGCCGCCGTCATCCAAGGGCTCGTCAGTCTCCAGGAATCTCTAAAGGACATACCACATTTGACCTGGATCAATCCCCGCCCCAATGTAACAGCGGAGCAGTTTGTCAACTCGGTAAGTCTGATTCTGCCCATGTTCATTTACAACACTTTTACCCTGAAACTGGACTCATATCACAAACACACTGGAACTGACACCGCTATTCCTACTGTAGATTCCCGCCATACCATCCCGCCGTGGCTCCAATCACTGGATCGGCACGGCAAAAATGGGCACGGACGACGGAAGAACCGGCGGGACCGCAGTCGTGGACTTGGACACCAAGGTCTATGGAACGGGTAACCTGTTTGTTGTGGATGCTTCGATCTTTCCAGGCATGGTGACTGCCAATCCATCGGCGGCTATTGTCATTGCTGCTGAGCATGCGGCGAATAGGATCTTGGCTTTGAAGTACTAGTCTAGGTGTCTGTCTGTCTGATCAGTGTTGGGAACTTTAGAGGTCCGTGATGCTTGTCATGGAAATTAGCCGCTTTGGTGAGTCGGTTCATGAACTGTTCTCTTCCCGAACAAGGTCAGATTGGAATGTGGTAGTCGGAGAGCGATCGATTACCGAAGACCCATTGAGCCGGAACCGAAGGGGTTCTGCAAAAGGATTGCGGGGTGCATAAGACAATCTAGGCGAGCCAAGCCACTGTCCGTCAAACAAACTGGACCCTCGGGAGATTTAGCCGAATGAATCACATTCGCGTCTTTCTGAATGTACAGCAAAGCAGCAGCAGGAATGAGTGAGTAGGCAATGTAACAGCCGGGTTTTCACCGGCGTCAGATGTGAATGCCGAAGATTCCTCTTCTAGCGGTAATGCTGGGTTATTTGTTAGCTTGGTATATAACACCTTTGTAGGTCGAATTGGCCCATAGGTACTCTACAAGGATCCAACCCAATAGATGGACAGGGACCGGAAGGGCATCAACAGCATTCAACAAGGTTCAAAATGACATGATGAGATACCGAAAGAGAACATTCAATGTGCGATCACGCTTGTGGCATGGAACACACCGGATTTGTCGGATATGAATTACCTACTAGCAAAGTTGACTCAAGGTCCAGTTTTGAGCTAACACATAGACAAATATTTAACTCTAAATCGGAGCCTTGTTATTATAGTTATAGCTTTTGGCACAGCGGGCCTCACATCAATGGGCGAGAAGCGTATTCAGGACAAATCACAAGGTTTTCCATTCATCGTCTGACCAAGATCCAATCCACATGACCTCTATCAGTCGAGCTACACCCAAGCTCAATCCAAACGCGTAGTCCCAAACAGCCGATTACCCGTATCCGTTCCTCCCCTTCCAGTAAACTTATTATCCGACACCCTCAGCGTCACCAAGTGAAACTTGTCATCATTCCTCAGGAGCCGTCCCAAGCCATGCTCCGCACCCGTAGTCTCCACCTGCACGACCCCGGCAACCACCACAACGCGGATATCCTTCCCTTCTTCATACATGCCACGAATCCTCTCAAGGAACTCCAACACCGTCTTCCCGTTGTTCACCACCGAGTCCACCAAGATGATCGTGTGCTGCTTGTCAAGGTGATGAGGCTTGACATCCTCCGGTGTCTTGGCGTGCAAGAACATGGCGAGCGGGAAAGCGTCATTGACGCCAAAAGCCATGGGCTCCCCGCCCCTCATTAGGGCAACGATGGTGGTGTCTTGTTCGTGCAGGAGGCGATGGCCAGTGGTGTTGTGGCCTTGGACGTGAGGGATGGAGTACTCTTCTAGACCGACGAGGGAGGTGATGAACTCTGTAGCTAGGTACCATCCGATACGGCGATGTGCTTCTCGAAGAGCAGGGCCGAAAATGGTGGCGTCGCGGGTCGGGGTTGTCATGAGCTTGGCGGAGGGCCGGTTGCTGGCATGCAAGAGGTTGGGCTTGGAAAAAGACTTGGAGGGTAGACTGCCAAAGAGAGACTGGTTCAAGGGGTCGGTTGGGTCGGAGAGGTCTATCAGGGGAAGCCGGGTGGTGTCGAGACGGGGAATGACGGTGTGCGGGATGAGTGCTTGGCGTAGGTTGTGGTCGTGGGGTGAGCCATTGGCGTTGGGCTTGATGGCCCTGGAGAGAGCGTCTTCCATTGATTTGCTCCTAGCCAGTTCCACACCCACAACCACAACGCCTTCGTCAGCTGCCTGGAGCATGGGCAGATCCAACGGGCCGTCTCCAAAAGCCACCACACGAAGATTATGAGGAGGGCCTCGAAGGCGGTTGACGACGGCTTCTTTGGACTTGTCGGTGATGATAAGCCCCTCGCTGATGTCCCCGTTACCAATGACCTTGACGTGCTTTTCCAAGCCTTCTTTCTCTATCACCGTCTGCCATACTCGGCGTAGTCCACAAGTTACCACCACCGCCATGATATGAGGGTGACTTTTGACACGGCGGAGTAGGGATAGAAGCTCGGGATAGAGAGTGGTCTCCTTCGCAACATCATTGCAAAGTTCCTCAAAACCAATCACATGGCTGTATGACATGGCCACCTGGCGGAACGCCTCATAGGTATAGCCGTTTTCACGGAACACGTCTTCGGCTGGGGTGGGCACCTGCTGGTCGATCCCTCTCTCTCGGCTAGACTCAAGCTTCCAAAACTCACTGCCAGTATCCATGGCTGTGAGAGTCTTATCTGCGTCAAGCACCAGAGCGGTGGTGATATGGGTATTGTGAGAAGCCTTGACATTGGCCACAATCTCATCCACTGCAGCCAGCACGCGTATGTGGTTGCGGTGTTCGGATTCCGACCGAAACTCGTGCAGCCACTTTAGGATCTTGGATCCGGGAGCCCGAAGGTTCCGGTCCAACCTGGCACCATCCTGACGAACAAGGCAAATTCCTGACTCCTTTGCTATGGCGTCTAGCTGTCGCAGCTCTTCCTCTTGCCACTTGTGGAGATGCTCAGGTGCCGCTCTCTCGCGGTCTTCCCTTGCCTGGTCCTGCCGTCGACGACGGTAAAGTAGGTCCGCAGGCAGCTGAAGGTAGATGATGTGTGTAAAGGTGTCTTGATCGGCTTTTGTCCAGACCACCATTCCGTGCTCGCTGTCCTTGGGCCAAAACATGTAATGTCCGGCAACAACACCGGCCAGACCCGTCTTCTGGCACTCGTCGCGTATGTGGGCTATGGCGAGCTCGCGGTACCGAGTTTTCTCTTCTTCGCTCAGGGCACGGAAGTCATCAAGGCCACGGTCTGGGCCCATCAGAGAGGCAATGACTGCAGACCCATCGTAGACGGCAAATTTGTCGCTCCATGTCGGAAGTGACCTTTTGAGGTTTTCGAGGACGGTCGATTTACCGGAGCCGGGGAGGCCATAGATGCCAATGACGATAGGAGACCTGGGGGTAGTGGGAGTCGCAACAGTGGCTGTCGCCAGAGACTGGTTAGCTTCGGAAGACATGGTGACGGAGTTGTGTGCGATGTTAAGGGCTTTCTGGTTGATTTTGGAAGTGACAGAGACAACGACAACAAGGCACAGGACTTGCTGGTGTTAAATACCTTTCAGCTATCTCAGTGAAAGCATCATGTCGATCCTCAGGTTGCATTTTGCTGCTTCTTTGACAATGAGAGGCATGATGAGCAAAGACGTGAACATCCGGTGTTTGTCAGGCTCTTGGTGATGCTGTGGTAGAGGGCCTCCAACAGGGAGCATTGAAGGGGAGCTTTGTTGTAGTAGGGTGTATGTGCGAGGCCTACTGTTTGGGCATTGAAGTGCTTTATAGTTGTGGCATTCCCATAGAGGTGTGTGCTGTCGGCGGCATGATTGATGATTATTGAGGTGGTTGTCCGGCGTGCTTGTCCGTCGGTGTGCTATCCGCTAACGTGTGACGACGGGTGACGGACGGACGCAGAATGGAAGCGAGTACCCGTCCCCAACCTTGCCGGCAAACCGGCGGCACCATCAAGGCTCTCATCACGCGCGGAACCGCGCACTCAATTGCGTGGTTGCCATTTCCAGTTTCCACTCCTGACTCTTCACCAAACAGTCACTTTCCCGCTTTTCAACTCTACAATACCACCATCACTCACCACTGCATTGCCATCCACAACGTCGCAACCTAGGGTAACCAAGTTAGATTCGCTTTCGACCCCGTCCTTCTCTTTTGCACCCTGCTAACAGTCCAGGAGACATACAAGTACAGCTCTGTCGTGTATCCAGATGGGAGTCCTGGAAACTCGACAAACCCTCCCCTCCAACCCCGCGACCGCAGCGACGCCGGCAAACCCTTCGGCCATCCGGCCATGACCCGACAAACAATGCGACAACCCTCTCGTACAGCTCTAGACTCCGTCCTCCACCGCCTCCTCAACAAATGGCACGCCGCCCTCTCTCTTCCCCGCCAATCCCCACCGTCTTGGTACCGCGCCCGACTCCTCGAAGAGCTTCGTGAGCTGCGTTCTGCCTCCACCACTCTCAGCCGACTCAGCGAGACAGCCGACGTCTTCTTCTCCATTAGCCGTGCTCGGTACGACGGTTTTCCCGTACGCACGCTTCCTCCTTTCTCCTTGGCGCGTCACGGTGTACCCATGGTGTACATGGTCGCCAAGTTCACACTCAGGTGGGGGTTCTATAGGACGGCGGCGAGGTTGTGCGGAGCGAAGGATTGGAAAAGTGTGAGGGAAGTGATCAACCCGCTCAAGGATCGCAAGTTGGGAGAGGTGTCAGCACGTCACGGCATTGATCCGGACAAGTTCCGTAATACGGGCAGGATGTTAAGGAGGGTTTGGCCATTGCTACCCTAGACTTAGACTCCTTGCTCTATCGTCTGCATCAGAGCATCTTCCAATTTCTGTCTGTTCCTGGACAAGCAACACTCACACGTTTCGACCAAGCTGGTGCTGCGCTGTTGTCGCTTATTTCACAAACATCTGCTCGAAGCCCACCTTCTGCCACTTCCACGCGTTTGTATCAAGCGTCACGTTCGTCCCCACTGTCTTGCCTCCCTTCAAACTTCCCGCCTCAACCTTTCCACCCCCAACCGGTCTTTGCAAATGGCTGTCTCCAGCGAGCATGGTGAAGTTAGCCAGGGGCAGATCCCAACCGTTTCGGGTGGCAACGCTGGGTGAGCCGAAGAACTGGGCATCGATCTTGGACTTCTTGACCGAGAGGTGGAAGTATCCGCGGTAGTAACCCTCTTGCCATTGCAGCTCTTCGTTGCTGTCAACCTTGGTCTTGGTTGCCTTTTGAACGGTGGCGATGTTGCCGCTGGCGCCGGAAGAGGTGACGGACGTTCCGGCGAGCTCGACGCCGATGGCTCCTGCACCGGTGGTGCCATCGTAGGGCTTGGTGCCGAGCCATACAAGGTCGGAAACCTGCAAAGGGCTGTCAGTATGGTATGAAAAAGGAAATGGGAGATGGACATGGCACATTGGCACTTACCCAATTCTGATGGCTGTCGCCAGACAAGAAGATGTTATCGGTAATGCCGTTGTCGTACAGATGCTTGAGGGTGCGGTTCCTGCTGGCGACGTATCCCTGAAAGCCCACAATGTTAGCAACAAACCAAGTTCGATAGAGGAGAAAAGAGAAGAGAAGAAAAGAGATGCATACACTCCAGTTGTCAGTACCCGTAAGTGCTCCCTTGGAATCCAGAATCCTTGAAAAGACGATCTGGTTCCCCACCACTCTCCACGTAGCCGCTCTCTCCTTGCTCTCGCTCAACTGCCTGAAGAACCACTTCTCCTGGCGGCCTCCCATCAGCGTCCTCGAAGGATCGTCCCTAATCGCCTCGATGTACGCTTCATTGCCTGATAAACTCGTAATGCTGCGGTCGTAGTTACGGGTGTCGATGATGATAAGATCCAGCAGCTTGCCCATCTTGAAGTTGCGCCAGATGCGCAGGTTATCGTCGAGGTCCACCTGGCGGATCGGCATCCACTCGAAGTAGGCACGCACGGCGTTGATCTTGCGTGTGTCGACGCTGATGGAAGGACCGTCGTTTCGGAAGGAGGCCTCGGTGTTGTTGAGCGCCGAGAAGCCATCGCGGTAGCCGTTGTTGGCAAATTCTGTAACAGCAGCCTGGTTAGAGCGAGGGTAGAACATGGGGGATGGAGGTACAACGGGACTAAACATACCGTGATCATCCCAGGTGGGAATCCAGGCGTAGTTCTGAGCTAAAAGCTGCAGGTCGTTGTCGGTACGGTACTGTCCATGGCGTGTCCGGTAGTCGTACAGAGTGAATAGCTTGTTGGCAGGCTTGTGTGCTCTTGGGCCGCCTCCGGCATCTTCGTAGATGTAGTCACCGAGATGGACAACGTAATCATGGTTGTCTTTCCGAGCAGCATTGCCGTAAACGTTGAAGAAGCCCTTGGCTATTGGTAGACAACTAGTTAGTTCTTTGGGATCAAAGGCAACATCGCAATGGCATCTTTCGTGTCAGCAAATACATACCGTGGTTTGAGCAAGAGAACACAGCCAGTTTGACCTCGTCGACATCGGCATCCTCAGCCGGCGCAGTCTTGGTCCTTCCGATAGGGCTGGTGTTGTTGGAGCCACAGACGGTGAACTGGTAGTTGTAAAGGGTCCAAGGCTTCAATCTTTGAGCTTCAACCTACAAGTAATCACTATTAGCCGGCTTCTTCTCCCATCAGCTCAAGTGTAAGAATCACCGTACCTTGACCGTAAAGTCAATATCACTAGTTGTATACGCCTTCCCCTTGCCTATGACCTTCACCTGGTCCTTGGCAGTCTCCTTGTGTCCCTTCTGCACCTTCGCGGGCTGCAGCTCCCACACCTTCCACTCAAGGCAAATGGGGTTCGCATCGGCCTTGATGTACTCGTCCGTCTCATGGCTGTAGAGGTCCACCGTTCCTGAGACGGACACGTTGCTCTTATCAGCCTCAGAAGTAGGCGCCACGCGAGTCCAAAGAATCACCGAGTTCGGGTAGGGGTCTCCAGAAGCAACGCCGTGGGTGAAGTTCAGCTCCGAGGGCTGGTAAGCGGCAGAGGAGCGTTTGAGCGTGCGGGAAGTGATGACAGGAAGAGAAAGACCGAGGTTGATGTGCTCGGAGCGAGCGGACGGGGGGTGGTAGTTGAGATTGCCATCGAAAGAGGCGGAGGCAAGAGGGAACATGAAGGCGGCGAGGCCGAGAAGAGGCCCGAGGTTCGAATGCATCGCGAACCGTGGACCACTGCTACACGATCTGAGAAGCGACTGGCGGATACAAGCTCGACGGGAGAAGTCATGTTGGTGTGGGTGGTGATGGCTTTTATCGAGATTTCACCGTCCTTGATGCTCTCTCTGCACAGGTGCCATCAATCCAGGAACGTAGTTCGTGTGGACATGCATCATCGGATGCACGTTTCAAGGCCACAACCACTCGCCCTTCTCTCTGGTACCGGGCGGGGAAACAACATCCACGGCGACCAGACTCTCTTCGATGGATTCACCCGCATCTCGACGGGAGGACGATCGTCATTTTCCTTTCCCCAAATGTACAATGCCTATGAAGACATCCTCAGGAACGCCCGCGGGCGGCTGGAACGTCACATTGGCGGGCCGGGTTGATATTGCGAATCGATGAGGAACGTGGTGGTCCAGCATGGCATCGACCGCCACACCCGCCGTAACCTGCAACTCGCGTGCCCAAAGTACGAGAAATCACTGGCTCACATGAAGGGTAATCGGACTGGGGAAAGAATGGTTTGTCAATACACGTGCGCCCATTGGATCAAGTTTCGAGGTTGGCGATGCAATTTGCTCGAGGACGATGTTGCGGCGACGAGAATAACCACATGAGGTTGATTCCGTAGCGGGTGGGACATTGGTCACTCTTTTGCATTAGAATTCCCAAAAGCCGATGGGAAGCCGTTCGATATACACCTGGAGATTAAGGTGAAGATACCAAGACAGTTAGCTTCTTACATCATGATCTCTCCGATGCTCTTGCTGCTCTGCCCTGGTGAACTCAATCTCGCTGTCGATATCTCCTTGCCGATTTTTTGTCCAGTCGTCCAGCCCACGTGTTTAGGCACCTCCGTCAAGCCTGTTGCCGGCCGGCAGGTTGAGCATGGGTCCCGCTCGTACTGCCAAGACGAGATTTATGGTCTGTGCTTACCTCCTTGCTCTGACCTTGCCCGTCCCCGACCAACCACTCACGCCACTAAACCTTTGCTGAATGTCAACTGAAGCGCCTGAATAACGCCGCAACACCAGGATCACATCGCAAGAGTTAATAACAACCAAAAAACGGGACATCACAATATCAACAATCAATGCGACCAGAAGGCTTGCCTCAAAATGACGTATTCACCGCCGATGCCTTTTTAGTCGAGGAATAAGCACTCATCGAGCTCTCGATGACGTCGGACTGTGATGGATGTTGAGCGCCGGTCCGCACCCGGTGTTTACCATTGGAGACCATTGACGGGAGTAGGATCCGAAGCAGTTTGACTGGTTGCTGCAGTGTCACTACCACTCCACCACCACAAATGGACTCATCTGGAGCCCTTTGGTGATGGCCGTGAGAATCAATGTCAAAGTGATATCAGAGGTTCATCAAATCTCGCACGTCTCCGTTGAGTTCGAGATGGAGACCGAGGCACGGCATGGTTGGTATATGGACAAGCGAGTCAAAAACGAGCCCTCCTACCTCACTACCTCATCTCCCGGTTTTTCTGCGTAACCTCTAGCTGCATCGTAAACAGACGAACAGTTGCCGCTGCCGCCCATTTCTCCCAAGCTCGATACCCAGAAACGCCTTCAAGATGGTGATGTACAAGACCGGTCAGACTGTTCGGTACAAGCCCGTAGGAGGTAAATTTCCCATTATCATCAACATGGTTCTTTGTGTGCACTGCGCAGTCCACTGATGGTGATATCTCGGATCAACAAGGTCCCACATCAAACACATCCGAAAGCGTTGGCAAAATCATGGACGTCTTGACCGAGCCAGGCCAGCAAGCCGGCCGCAACGTTAATGCCAGCCCAGAGACCCCGAGATATGAGGTATGTCGAGTCGTGGTGTCGGAACCAGTTGCTGGCTACCATACGGGTTCTCGCTCGCACCATTCAATGATGCTGACAAAGATGGATGCGGTGTGGTGCAGATCCAGAACTTGAACACTGGCAAGTCGACCACCATTTACGAGGCCAACATCCTGGGAATCTCACGTTAAGAAAAGTACGCCATTGAAACAGGTGCATCTTGTATGATAGGAATGTGTGTGAAATCAATTGCGCTTGGGTCTTCATTTCTAACTGAAACGGACGACTGCGCCTACAAATTTGTGGCTGTGCATGCTGACCAGCGTAAATACCGGCCCGCAACCCCGAGACGGGATGGAAATTCCATGCCTTATATTTTCTAGGTAACTGTTGGTGGTATGTTCGATATGTGTTTGTGGTAATATGTTCGGTTTGGGTATTTTGCGACCTCTTCGAGTAGGAACATAGATCAATTCAAAATCGCTGCCAGGATGGAAAACTATGTGGATTCTAGAACTTCTTGGATGGCATCAATCGCTGTATTATACAAAAGTTGAACTGTATCTAGCAAAGGAGGGGGGAAAAGTCCCACCAGGAAACCAACGGAGAATAATGCTTGAAAAAACGAATTGCGCCGTCCATGAACCATGCAATAGCTTGAGCTATGTTTCTATTCAGCCCCCGATGCAGAATCCAAAGGTGTAAAAGAAGATATCAAAGAAAAGGAGGAGACGCAAACTGTATCCAACACCGGGAATGGAAGTGGAGGGTATAAGAGAAAATCCAAAAAGAACAGGTAAAGAGGGGTTAAAGAAAGGAAATGGAAGAGAAGGACAAGGACAAAACAACCCGAAAAAGAGTAAACCGAAGGCCAAATACAGGAGCACCATTGTCCTTTGCCTCCAAAACCGCATTAAACTCGTGCACGAGAAGCAAACAATCCAAAGCGATCAAGCCAAGACAACTGTCCTGCTCTCACAACCATAGAAGAAACCTTTCCTCTGTTCATACCCAATACAAACCCCCACTCTCCTCCACGTCTCTTCAGGTCCCGGATTTCTTCGAAGCAACAACATTGCCATCTCTCCAAGCTCAAGGCACATCAACTCCGTTTCTTCCCCGTCTGCCAAAGCAACACTCTTACTCTTCTTTTCCCCAAAGCAGCGGCCAGTGGAAAAAACGTAGTCCAACTGCCCCACAATCTCGCCGCCATGAGCGTCCTTGGAGACTATGCGGCCATCATCATAGTTCCTTGAATGGAGGTCTTGGCCGGGATACTTCTCAAAGTTGAAGCCAACACGATCACCGCGCTGCCATTCAATTTCTTCCCATGGTACATCGCGCGAGTTTTCGGAAATAAAGCGGCGGAAGCGGCCTCGGACTTCGATTTGCTTGACTGTGCGGCCGTGTTGCTCGGCTAATTTACTGCGAAGGCGAGGGTTGGTCACGACCTCCCGGTTGACAGGGGCGCTGGGGGTTATCAGTGTGTAGTCGGAGCTGGGCTGTCGGACGCCCACGAACTGGAAGTGCGGGGACTGCTTAAAAGCATGTCTCATCTTTGTGTTCACGCACAACGGTAATGAAGCCCACGACCATGACGGTGCAACTTCTTGATGACTCCCCTTTGGATCAACAGCGCTTGCAACTGACCACGACAAGTGCCTCGCCAGATCCTCCCTCCACAACCCCGCCAAGTATTCCTCGCTCACATGGGTTTTACCACCTCCGTCCAGCTTGGCTTCAAGAAACCGGACAGCAAGGCCCGATATGGCGAGGAAGCGATCGGCAGAGTGGGCGAGGTCACGCCGCGTGTAGGCTTCGACGATATCGAGCCATTCTTGGTCGATGCTCTGGAAGTCGCCGATTCGACAGACGTGGAGGAACCGCTGCGGTGGACTCCATGATTGCTCTTCTGCGACACAGACAGGAGAAGGAAGGTCAAGGGGCGAAGATTCGACGGCTTGGTACTCGGGGCAGGACCAGTACCAGCGCTGACCGGTCCAGTAGAGGATTCTGGGCGAGAGACGCTCTTCTTGGAGGGTCCAGGCGCGTTGCGAGGCTGGAGGGTCGAGACGGACTTCGTGTAGGGGCTTCTGGGTGTTGTAGAGGAAGTGGTTGCGCAGCTTGCAAGGCTTGGGTTCTTGCAGCCACGCGAGACGGTCGTGTAGCATGGGTTCGGTTGCTTTTGTGCTGGAAGAGGCCAGCAGGGTAAATGCGGCGTTGCCGTAGACCTCGTGCATCAGGGAAGCCTCGGTGTCCCAATCGGTGCCTTTGGGGATGCAAACACTGTCAATCCAGATGTATTTGTATTCCAGTTCCTGAGTGATGGCAATTGCATCCTGCATCGTTTCTGGTAGTTGGGATCGAGAAAATGGGGTTGTGCGTTCCGCCACTGGGACGCCATTGATCGTTTTGGTAGCGGCACCTTTGATCCTGGCCCACTCCTCCGCGGGCATTGCGGTAGGATCTCCCCAAGAGTAGCTGAGGACGACATAGTCAACCAAATGCGAGGGGCCCGGAATCACTCGGACTTTGCCATCGTCTAGGATTTCTAGAAGCCACGACGGATTTCTGCTGTTCCAACGGTATCTAGACGAGCACTGGTGGTTGTCGTGGCAGTTGGCGACGACTCGACGTAGCTCTTCAAAGTTGGGCCGAAGCATGGAGGCTGGCGAAGGCCCTTTGGTCTTTTTACCGACAGCAAGGCACGGCTTCTGACTTAGGACGACCGTCGCAAAGAACAAGAGGATTCCAGATGGTTTCTCAATAGTAACCAGGAGACTGTCACCCCCAGGTCGTATATCTAGAGCTACCTGGACTGGCCACTGCTTATCCATGTCTCGCAGACGCTCAGCATCTCGGCCTGTGATCTGGTCTAACAGGAGAGCACGGCGGACAACCTGGCAAGCGTCGCAGTTGGACATCCTAGCGCACATGTCGAGCTCGATGTAGCTGTTGTGGATGATGCGCTTTGGAGAGGTGCACTTGTGGTTTGGATCCTTCCTCCTCTCCGCCTCTGCCCAGCGTAGGAGATAGGTAATCTCGTCACAACCACGGCATTGTAGCTGGCCATGTTCGTTGGTCTTGGCGCGAAGGAGATCTTGTGCTTGTGGTGATGGCACGCGATGGTAGGCATGGTGGTGGTGATGTTTTTCTTGGATGGTGTCGTAGTGGCGGGACCGGCAACAGTCTAATAACTGGCTCTTGCGATTGTAGAGACGACGGCCAAGGCGATGTACCCAGTAGGAGGCCGATGTTGGTGTTTCCATGATGGTAGGCGTCGTAACTGGCAGATGATCCTGTGTAGATGGGGACATGAAGGTGGAACGGAGCCTGAGGCAGGAGGGCGAGGCCGTCCATTTGTACTAAATCAGCAGGCATCCCGCATCTCCAAGATCGGACGAGGCCATGCTGTGGCAGGGACCAAGAATGGTCGGAGCCGTATGTGATGAGCCGGCGGCGGCGCACATTCTCTCCTAGAGGTATCCTCTCATCTTTTCTGTATGGCAATGGTTCGACTCGGCTCGACGTTGGTATGGCTTGCTTGGCACGGCGGTGACGTCGTGAAACCACGGGCCAGTCATACTTTGTGTGTAATTGTGCCTGTGTCCTTGTGATGCTCCCGCCCATTGTAGGTAGGTGTATGTACCCTTCAGCCCTACCGCCTGCTGTGCCAGTGTGTCCAATCTGCACCAGTATCGCGAAGATCCGGGGGTTATTGAGGGAGAGTCTACTTGGGCGTGGTTTGGGAAATGACTGGGCCCACCCGAGCGTGGCTCATTGCGCGTTGGGTTCGACGGGTCAAGGGTCGGAGCAAGAAGCGGTTCACTGCCACAACCGCGCGACGTATCGTGACCGAGAAAAAGGTAGGGTTCTTCTGGTTTCGATAAAGAAGTCATTAGACTACCTATTCAGGTTGGGATTGAGTTTCCGTGCCGCGCCGCGCCGCGAGGTCGGGGGGCGGAGCAACAAGAACGGGCCAGGAAGGGAATAGCACATACCGGTGCGGCGGGGCATTCCGAATCTTGAATTATTTCAGTGGAGTCAATGCCTTCGGTGTCGCTGTCATTCTTTTCCTCGGTGACTCTTCTCTAGACGCCGCGTGTCCATGGGGGGGAAGGTTGGTGATGGTGAATTGGTGATATATCTTCGATTGGCGAGAATTAGGCAACATCGTGGTTGGACGCGGACGCGAATTGGCTCCTTGGAACTCGATTGACTGGACTGAGGTGCCTGGATGACGGAAAGAGCGTTGGCGGGGATGACGGGTCGGGTTGCCTCGGTGGCCTAGCGGTGTGGGGTCTTGAAAAAGAGTGGAGTTATCATCTGCACTAACACTTACTAGCACTAACACTAATATCAACACCAACGGACCTTACTGCTGGTGCGCAACACTACCGGCACGGCGCATCTAGATCTATGTCTTAGCTGTCCGATACTGTTGGGTGGGTAGGCAACTGAACCTTTAGTTCAACGAACAAAGGCCAAACAGTTCTTAACCGCCAGCCTATGAATCGTGCATATGATAAAGAGATGTTATTCTTCTCTCTTTTTTGAGGTGGATTTGGTAAGCCAACGGCGATGTCGTGATGCTGGGGGTTAATACGGTTGTGTGGTTCAGAGTGGAACTGCGGCATGGCGTTAGCGGTTAACCGCTGTTAGTCCCGGCCCAAAGATGTTTTGTGCAGATTCCATTGTCCGCCGGGGCCTGTACCTGCTCTTCGACCCCCTTGTCCATTGGGCCTCAAAATCTTACTCCCTGGCAACGCGATGTTACGGCACGCCGAATGATTCAAACCAAACCCCGGACACATCTAACTTAACTTGGAGGGTGTGGTGCCGCAGTGTGGTGCCGCGGTGCGGTGTAAGCTGGGTGGTGAGGTAAGGCGGACGGGTGTCAGCTCCGTTGATGCTCTAGTAAGGAGGCGGAGGTGAGCCCGGATGGTACTGCTCCCGTCAACGGGCACGGTCGAACGGAAACATGCGGGACCGAAAAAATGAGAGCATGAGCCTCCTCCAACTACTGCAAAGGGTTCATCATCGTGGTTCACAGGCTGGGGGCTGTGATTTGAATGTAGGTAGCTCGAGGGATTTGGAGTGGGCTGTTCAAGGCGCTCTGGGCTTTCTGTTTCTCATTTGCTCTTGTTTGTTTAAATCCATCGCCAAGTTGTGGAAATCTTAAGTGTGATTAGGATAGGGAAAGCCTGGGTTTGGTGATGGCTGAAACAAACTTGAATCCCACGCGAGTAGCCTCAGTCTGAGGTCGTTTGGCATGTATCGTGAACCAGACTGTTGGTAATCCCAGATATACGGCCCTGGCTCCGGGGCGTTGGCAGTCAACAGGGATGTCGGCCACTCCAAGTGACCGCAGTGTTTCCCGTCTGCAAGACAATGATCAAGGCACGGTGCGACATCACATCCTAGAAAGGCCGTTACCACGTGCGCGTGTGCGTATGTGCAACGCTCGGTTCTTAGGCTCCAATGTCCGAGTTGATTGTTGCTGCGGACGAGCCTGCGTTGAGATTGTTATCGTATCTCGCTGGTGATGATGAGGTGGCTTCCCGAATGTTTTTGCCTAGTCGTAGGTTACAAACCAAGTAGCAAATACTTGTTAGTACCTACGCGTCCGAGTCCAACTCTGTGCACTACAGTTTCCAGGCAGCAAACAACAGAGTTCTTGTCACACTGCGACAGATGGCCTTCCAGGTTGGTATTCAAAGTGAAGCCACATGAATTCGGTCGTCGTGAGGCTCTATCGCTGTTGCCACCGGCGGTTAGCGTTGAAGCGTGAGCCTCAGTTGAGCACAACATCAAGCGCGCTCCGTCCCTTTGTTTGGATTGCCCAGGGTCACTGCTTCTGTCACTGGATGCTTGAGCCGCTTTAGCCCTCTTCATTCGGGTCTTTCCCCCATTCCTCACAATGATATCGCAACCCAAGGCAAGTAAGTACAAAGGACTGGAAACAGAAACATGAGGTGACCTAAGCCGACCTCACGTTAAGCCTCTCGGGCGGAAATAGTCCCCGCCCGGGACGGTTGGTATTTCCTCCAGTGCCAATGGCCCGCGGGTACCCCTGAATGACAACTGCAATGTACCCAAGTACTACCTATCCAACCAGCCACAGCGCCCAAATCCCCCCGCCTCTCCACAAACACAAACCTCGACGTCGCTCATTAAAACACGCATTCATGTTTCTTCATTTCTAATCATCTCAGAATGGAGCGCGCAGTTCGTAAAAGAGTGCCGGACCGATAATGTGATTCACCGAGTCCCTCTGGGCATTGTGGCACAGGGCATCCACTACCGCAAAGGTACCCAACTACCCAAAGTAAGCGGGGGCATGTTGCAGCAGTTCGTACCTGCCGCTGCATGTCGGCCACTTGAGCCACATCAAGTAAGGCCACCCGACCATAGGATGCTACGGAACCGGTCGAGCCCCGGCCCTGTGTTTTCTTTCTCACTCTCGGCATTAACCGACAACAAAGATGAGAGTGTGACTCTTCCATTCCTCTTTGTTGTTATTCTAGAAGGTCAATGAGCGACATCAAAACCCCTGCGTACTCGACCTACACCGAGAGCCCAACCAGCCGTCACACGCTATACGCAGGTGCGGAATGACATCAATACCTCTCTCAGGAAACCAGGGTCTCTAGGCACCAATCACTCACCCCAGACAGAATGGGGACATTTTGCACCACAAATCCAAGGACCAACCAAGGCATCCATGCATCTGAGTCAGTCGCGGCCCTGAATTTTACTTCGGACATGAAAAACAATGAAGTGTTCACCGGGTTCCATTTCTATCGAGGGCAATTGGGGTCCTGTCATCTCAACATCGTCCGTCAATCATCGGCATGGCAGTCAGAATCCAGGGACGCTGTCAGTCAATAGTGTCGCCGCTTCAGAGGGTCAAGTGCTGGTAAGTGATTGGTTACACAGACGTCCAATTGACTGCTAACCACCAATCACGTCCAGTATATCTTATTCACCCATTCATAGATCTGAGATCGGAAGGTGACCCAGCGGTTAAGTTGTGCAACGTGCACTTCGTGGCCCAGCCCTACGGCTCAAGACAACAGACTCAGCTTACTCAGAAGGTTCAATGCTGTGCGCCTGATTCCCGCTCGGGCGGGAGCTAAAATCCATCATTCCGCCCCTAAACATCATCCTGAATTATCAAATCAGCGTATGAGCGCTGGGAGCAGGCTAGAGATGAGTCTTGGTCCGGGATCCGGACGACAACCATCGGTTGCACTATGCTCAGGAGACGCCAGAGCATCGCGATCATTTCAACAGGAATATTCAAACGCGGGGTGAGTTCATCGGATTGAAGCTCAGACCGAGCATGGGAATTTTGCTAACTGAGGAAACACCATATGAACAGGGACTCGAGCGGTGGACTGTGGCTGATTCCGCCATCCGCGACATATTCTGTCAAATGTTTGGTGCAGTCTCGTATACTGTCGCTTTCGGACCAACTCTGGACAACCAACAGAATCAAGAACAAAGATACTAAGAACCACTTTTCCTTTACCGGTACCTGATTCCGTCGCTTAACATCTCGTCACACGAAGTCGCAAAGAGCCATTGTGGCAGTGAATGATGATGACAAGCCCAGGAGGTGGCGGGTGTGGAGCTACGACCACCCAAGCCATTCTTCTTGGAGACGCTAACAACCAGATCTCATCATTATTTTCTTACTTCACCCATTTTCAGCCTAACACACCCCTCATATCCTTGCGAATGCCATCACCATCAACCATGTTAGTGCAAGTTGGTCTACCTTCTCTTTCTTTCTTCGCAATAGCTTGTGTCCGTTTCGGGAAGCTCCCCAAGGGATACCATAACAGACATACGTCTATTGAGCAGCCCCTAAGCACAGTCCGGTGCCGCCGCAGGGCAGCAAGGAGCATCAACGGCAACAAACTCGGTCACAGTTTACCAACCGGATGTTGGTTGGTGTTATTCCTGGGTTGGCCGAGTACACGTCTACTGTCCAGTGGCAGGCAGACTATGGCAAGTGCCTTATATACATGGCATCCCTTTCTCAAGTCTACATCGCCCTTTGTCGACCTGTCTACTTACGCTCTGTTTTCACCTCAATCTCAGTCATCTTGTACTATAACGTTGTCGTGCGTATTAGATATTGGCCTGAGGTTGTCATCCGTTTCATCTTTCACCGCTTACCCATCTTACTCTCCCCAACCATCAACAGCATCGTCGTTGACGTTACCTACTCACCGGTCACACCTTACCGCGTGCCTGCCAACAACCCATCCACGCCACGATGTACAGAACTAATCACCCATGGTGGAAGCTCACGCATATCCTCTGTATCCTCGGCCACCTGGGGTTGATAATAGCCGGCGTCGTCGCCTTCATCCACAACCTGCAGAGTGAGGCAGACAACCTAGAGACCACATCACAGCAACCAACGACCATAGTCATGAATATGTCGGATGACCAAACCGTCATCAACTCTGATACCAAGTCCTGCAACATTGTATTGCTACAAGGGCTGGGCAGTGGTGCTGATGGAAAGAGTGGAAGCGGGCACAGCAATTTTGGGATCATTGTCAATGAGCTGTTGCCAGTTGCTTCTGTCATCGTGGTAAGTCAGTTCTCTGTTCTTGATGGTGTAGCAGTAGAGCCGTCAGCACGGTGCTTTTGACCTACCCACCATCACGGCCGTCTTCCCTCGTCCCTCTGGTGTTGACTGCATCGGATGCGGAGCACAATGCATCCGTCGGTTACAGCGCAGCGCACGATAACAGTTTTCTCTTCCTCCATATTCAATCGATTCACACAACGCTGCATGACAGATTCGCTGACAGAACACCAGGGAACAATAGGTCTAACTCTCAACATTGGAATTTTTGCCGCTCTTCTCGCCGTCGAGACTACTTCTGCAAAAGTTAACCTCACAGAAGGCGAGCAGCACTGGCGCAAGAAAATTGTGACAGTCTCGTGCTGCGTGTTTAACTTGCTCCTTGCTGGTGCCGGGATAGGGCTGGCAGGAGCCATGGGCATTAGGTTGTCTAACCTTGGTAACAGGCAGCTGGAAATGAGTAATGGTGAAAGGAGTCTGATTGCTCCTTTGGTCATGGGTGTTGTGCAGGCGTAAGTGGTTTCTTCTTCTTCCTAGCCCCCAGTTCCCTAGAGCCGCATGGAAGCCATCCATCGTCAACTCATCTTCCCATGAGAGCAAGTGCTTTTGGACACTTTTCGATGCAGGGACGGTTGATGGATGGCTCCATCACATCAGAAGAGATTGGTGGTTGATCGACTGGGTGAGGGTGTGTAGACGGGAGGCTGGCCCATCAGTCATCGCGCAACACGGGGTCTAAGCCACCTTCATATCCGCTCGTGTGCCATCTTGAATCTTGGCTATCCCGCGGCTCTTCCTTACCTCGTTGTCGATACTGCGATGCGAGCCTTGACGGTTCGACGGCATTTACGATGGTCCTGTCCGACTGGTCCTTTGTTTGTCTGATCATCCATTTGCCCCACAACATTTTTCTTGCAAAATGCATGAGCACACAACGAAGGAAGCAAGTGCTAACATACCTATATCTCACAGGGCACTCTGCGTAATAACCGCACTGTTCGACTTTATCAAGAATCATCGGGAAGGGCAAGACCTCATCGACTAGACAGGTCAAATGGAGGGGACGTAATGGGGAAAGAGAGTAGCACAAGGTGCAGCATGCGAAGACAAGTGGTGCGTAGCATGGCAGGTGTCGAGTGCAGATTGGGTGTAAAAGTCGCTGTTCTTGGTTGCATATGGGGGTGTTTTTGAGAGCTTTACGGTGTTCAGGTACGGAGTTGGGCGGCATACTTATTGACTTGGTTCTTGGGAGGCCTCACTACAAGAGTTGTAGCTAGCAGTATCGGAGCTTTGAAGAGCAGGAGGCCGATGTGGAGGTCATCATTATCGAGATGTCGGAAACGGAGCTTGGCCAAACTGGGCGAGAGGCCGTCAGCGGCCGGGGAACCGGGGTAACATAAATGACACTACTGCAGAGTTCTTCTCCCCATGTCTCCCTAGTATTGGTAGAACGTAGTCGAAAAATTCGTTCATTCACTCATTCATTCTCCCCATGTCTCCCTCCTGTCAGTCATCTTTGATCACATCGTCACATCGTGATTCCCCTGCTTCCTGCTTCTCGCCCGCCGGTCTCTTCCCTGTGCACCCTGGTCCGTTTCATTGCGTTCTTCAGATTTTTTTCACAAAACACTGCACAAAAACATTTTGCGATAAACGGTCTGTGAGGTGCTGTACCTACATCTACCGAATATCGATAGCAAGAACCGTGCATACCTCTACGCCTTATGGCTCGTGGATAATTACGATCGCTGTGGGGTTTTATCGTTACAGGTAGTAGAAGCGACAGCTCGCGATAAAGGACACGATGCCGAAGATTCCCCTCGGTAAGTGCAACTATGCACCTGTATTGCTGCACTTGTGTTGTCGGATTCCCGCACTTCCCGCGTCCCCACCAAACTATATGCAAAATGGTCACTCAGCCTTCTATTTTTCGTGACTCTTTCATGAGTTGTTTGTTAGTGATGACCAACAATGGGATGCACCACGTCATGTGGACGTGAACGTTGGATGCCCCGGATACCACTGCACGCCAACAGCATGTCAATAGTTGAATATATGCAGGATGTAATATTTTCCGCTATAGACAAGAACCCGAGTTGGGTTCTGCATGTTCGTACATCGCACCATGCTTTGTGCTGCCAGTTGGCGGCTTCACTGTCCGACATGTAGAGGAATTTGGAGTACCTAGGATGAGAAGGGAACCAACCTCAAGACGGATCTCCGTCAGGGTGAACAATAACGAATGTGAACCTAACCAGGCATTCTCATTAAGCAGACCTTTATGCGATTACTTTTGAGACGCAACTGTGAAACCGTGAGTCGGCGTCTGGTGTTGGATTTTACGTAGTCGTCTTCCTCGTCGTCGACGCAAGCTTTTGGTGGTTGAAACGACAGCCCGGTGGTCGTGGTGGCGTTTTAGGGGCACTACGCCAGCCAGGGGTTGATATCGTGGCCCCTGGAGTCAGCCCCCTCGGAACCGCACGTTGACGTTCTGCATCACAGAAGGGGAGGAGGACACTGGGACACTAGGTAGCTGGTCTCGGCATATGCAAGGTTCTTTTCGGATTGGGAGATTTGGGGATGCTGTGCCACGCGAGCGGGTGTTCTCTTGGTGTCGTGATAGCACCTTTGGCTTCGTACAAAAAGCTGATCATCCCTTATGTCGGCAGGTGAAAATGGATCCTTTGCCGGACTTCAACATGGCGAGATGTGGTTGTCTTGGGTTTTGGTCGCCGTCGGTCCCTTGGTTGCATTGTGTCATGGGCGTCCCTCGGCCCCCAAACGTCGGGACCAACAAGAGTGTTGGGGATTCCCGCCGGCGGTTCTTCATCAATTCAACTGTCCTCGTTTGAGTATGCAATGCGTCAAGTGATGCCAGGCCTTTTCTTTGTGCAAGCAGGAAAGAGGGATGGATGGATGGGTTGAGGTAATTAACAAACGGCAAGAGGTACCACTCCTCCTCCTCTTCATGTCGTGTTCGATGCCGGCAGCCTCAAACGGATGCCTCTTGATGGGCATCGTCCTCAAGAGGTAGCATTGCTGGTAACATTAATGGGCGGCTGCTGTGGTTTTGAAGGATTGTAGCGCATCTTGTAGGGTTACATGGGCGGCCGTGTTTGGGCAACAGTCCCCACCGCCATTTGATTGACGGCATGCCAATGGCGGCCAATGGCGACCAATAGCGATATCGATGAGAAGCGACCGTCCACTGGCGTCATGCGCGGTTCGCGGCTTCCTGCACTGACCAGCGGCACTAAAAGTGAGGTTCTTGCATCTCTTGGGGCGCTCCGCAGTTTCCATCCATTCCCAGCTTCGTCCCTGACCCCATTCACCATCGGATTTCCCTCCCACTTCAGTTTGTTCCATCATTTGCTGTTCATTTTGTCAATCGGCCGCTCCCTCATTCATTCCCCCTTGTTCGCTCTTTTGTTCTTACAAACCGTCGCTCGGATTTCAGGGATAGACGATGGTGACAATGGCCATGTACCGATCCGATCAGACCCGTGCAGATGCTCCCGTTGCCTCGGGCCTTCAATCACATCCACTACCCGGACCTCCACAACACGGACCATCATCATCATCCTCACCATCATCACTTCAACGGCAACAAGTCTCTTTTTCATCGGCACCAGTACCATCATCATCATCATCATCATCATCATCATCATCATCCTTCACATCTTTACAGCCGCTTCCTCCCTTGGCCATGTCAATAGGGACCGCACCGCTTCCGGGGGCTCCAGTACACTTGAGAGGACCTCCCGGGCTGGGACAGCAACAGACCACGCGTACGCTCCAGGGCCCGTCCGCGCAGGATTGGGCCCGCAACCGCGATATCATCGTCGACCTCTACAGACAGTATCCCCTTAAAAAAGTAAGCGACATAATGAGGACTCAATACAACTTCTCCGCAAGGTATTTTGGCCTCCCTTCAGTCTGTCTCTACCTATGCACACAGCAAGCCCCCCATGTCTTTTTCGCTTTCTTTCATTCAGCTCAACTCAACAAACCGACGGCGTCTTCGTGTCCATGTCCTGTCCATGTCCTGTCCTCGTCTGAACTTGGACACAACATGCTGGCCGATACAGCATCTGCACCATTAGAGACACACGGTCCTATCCCATCACTGCATGCACTCATCCATCCCAAGTCTGTCCCAGTCCCAGTCCCACGGGAGCTAGCCGCATGTGCTGGCTCCACGCCCCATTGACCACAGCACAGGAGTCTATGCCGTCCGAGTTTGACGAACGTGCAGGGAAAGCAGTCTGCCGGCTGTCTGCCATCCAGCTCATGTAGCTCTTATGCCGCACTCATGTGTATCTCAAGGTCCTTTTAACTATAATAACGACCACTTCCATGTCTCCATGTTTCTTATGGCTTCTTGTCGTCATCATCATACCTTATATATCCTTCATCTCACCCTGCCTTGTCACATCACTCCACCTCCGAAGAACCAACAATGACGCTGATCGAGATCCCCTTTGCTAACCTCACCTTGTCGGATACCAGCAAACGCATGTACGACAAGAGGTTCCGGGAATGGAATGTGTTTAAAAATGTCAATAGCGATGAAAAGGAAAGGCATGCACGTCCTGGCCGATTGCATAGATCCACTTCGCCTCAGAGGCACGCCCATGCCTCACCGGCGGGACACCAACACCACGACATAAATAACATGGAAACACTTCACTACACACAACCTCTGCTATCACTACATGATAGTCAAAGGCGTTCACAACGGTCAACAAGCCCCTACACAGCCTTGTCCATCAACATATCCACTCCAAGTACCATGTCCATGGGCAGATCGCCAACGCCAGCACACCGACGAGCCATGAGCCCACCATTCACCCGAACAGGATTGAGTATAGCGGACCTCATTATAGAAACCGCCCCCCAGGCGAAGCAGAGATCGGAGTCTCCCGCCGAGACCATTGAGACATGCTCGTCGCCAACCTTCTCTTCCTCGACGCCTGGTGGTCAATCATGCGCCACACCCGCATCAAGCTGTGCTTGGTCAGAGGATCAGAGCCAAGACAGGGACAAGCAAATAGTCCACGCTGGGTCACCCAATCCACAAAACCTTTCCATCTTCAAGGCACAGATCCGCGCACTTGCCGAGTCACCTCCACCGTTCATCGGACCGGACTCCAGGACACGGACACTGGATATCATCACCCTCGGCCTCCGCGACTACTATGACTGGCAGATACGCAACGTACCTGACGGCATCGCACCTGATGACTTCCTCGGACGAGGCACAACCGATGCATCACAGCAGTACTGGTCGTCCATCAAGAACGCCATCTACCTTATCAAACTGTCGGCTAGTTCAGCGGAGTCAGATGCCGCCCAACGACCCGATGTCCGCGCATGGCCAGCCCTGTCTGAAGCTGGCCGGGACGCCGCAGCCGCCATGACCAGCCAACCCTTTGACTTCCTCCGAAACCTCTTCGCCACCCTCTCGCCTGCCAACGTGCGCGCCCGTCCCGAACTCCGGACCATCCTGCTGCAGCTCCTGGCCAGCGAAGCTAACCACAACTTCTCCCCCACACATCCCATTGCCCGCATCTGCACCGAACTCAACAACGACCAGGACTGTCAGGAGATTTCCCGCCGCGCCTTGCAGTGCATGGTGGACATGTTCAGTCGTCTCGGCCAACGACGCTTCGTCTCCTTCAAGCTCCTCGACTCCCTAGCCACTCTCCTCCGTCGCAACGGCGAGTTTGATGCGGCAATGGCCATTGTCACCGAGCTTTTCAAAGCCTGCCGGCAGGAATTCGGCCCATACTCCGAACAGACCCGTGCAGTTGAGAATGAGCTGGCGCACTTCTACATGGTCGTCGACGATTGTGACCAAGCATTGCAGCACTGCATAGCTGTCATTCGTCGCCCGCCACCCGAGGGCCTACTCAATGACGCAAAGGTTGCGTTTCACCAAGACGGCATTGCAGCGCACACGATGGAAGACGTCGCGGAGATCCATGAAAGACGCGGTGATTTGGAGCAAGCAATTGTTTGGCTTGAGAGGGCAGCAGATGTCGCGTTGAGGGTCTGGGGACCGCAGGCGGTAGCGACCGGACATGTTGTTGACAAGCTCACGTCGTTGAAGAAGGAGTATGCGAATAACATGCTGCAAAGTGCGAAGGATTGGGAGGCTGTTATTGAACGATGATATCGAGGGTTACAGCTAGCTGATAATGTGACAAGGGCAGTATTCTGAGCTTGGAACAGTAGTTCAATTCCGCTAAAAAATTACTTTGATCTCGAAGGCCTTGTTGATCCTCTCAACCTCCAGAAGGCTGGACTTCAAGGCCTTCTTATGCCAAAGGGAACCGTACGTACTGGGTACGTACCGGTTCTTGTCGCTTGAGGCTCCAAGGCCTCTATCTAGCGATCTGTATACATGTGGGTCTTTTCTGAATGCCTTCATCCATTTTCCTTCTTCCCCCTGGCGCCGGCATTTGCCCGGACGCCCTGCTTCTGCTCGGTTAGGCGTGATTGCTCCTGTGATGACTATGATGGCTTTGTGATGATATTTAGCGCCGTCAGCAGTTCTGGGGTTGGCTCTTTTTTTGTTGTTGTTGTTGTTGTTGTTATTTTTAACGTCTACTTCCGCCTCCCGTAGGGCATGAGACGTGCGGCACCGGTGAGTCTAGCATACAAAAATAGGAGCAGTGCCCTAACTGTCCACCAAATCCTTCAAATCCGAGGGCAAACCGAGGCCTATTGCCAGTGTAAATCACGTGTTGCCCATAGCGTAAACGCGGCCCAACACTTATAATCGAATCGCCAGTGAGCGAGCCGCTAGTATATGGCGGGACCTGTAGAACAAAGGATCAAGCTGGTATAGCTAGGCGTTGCTACAGAACTGCCTAGTGATTATTACGTTCTGTGCTTGTGAAGTCTGGGATTGTTTGAGTACGGTCTTGTCCAGTACGCTAGTAGTACCGAGGTAACAAACAACCCAGAATTAGGTTATTGTCTTTTCTTGTTTCTTTCTGAATTCTCATCTGTTTTTTTTTAAAAAAACTTTCTTCCTGTTTTTCCCTTCTTGCTCTCCGCTCTCATGCTTTCGAGATGATTGGGCTGGAGCAATCGGTATCTAGCAACAGAACCATGATGCTACTAAACCCCCCTTCACAGCCTTGACCGCAGTAACAGTCGGTCCCATCTGGGACAGCGGTGCCTCCCTTCAGTGAATTTGGTCGCCATGAACAAGCGTCAAATCCTTCCTCAGCCTAAAGTGATAGATACTCTGGCAGTCACAGAAGGGAATATCCAGGCCCATGCGGTTGCTCGGATCCTTGAAACCCTGGTAGACGTAGGTGTCGGAGGTTAAGAAGCTGCTGCACCGACGGGACAATGAGCCATGTCGGGTTGGTAAGCAATGAACCCTCCCAGAGATATTGATAAGAAAACAAAACCAGGATACGAGAACAAGGAAAAGGAAAAAGGAGAAAGAGACTCACCCAACATCAAAGTAATCTCTCTGGCTCTGCGCATCCTTGCTGACGTTCCAGCTCAACTCATTGTTGTAGTTCCTGAACAAGCAACCCTGCACGTTGCCCTCCCAGACACGGAAGACGCCATCTTCCTCGAAGCGGTCCATCAGGCAAAGGGAGTCATCGGGGGGAAGGTAGTTGAGGTCAAGGCAGTCTCTGGGGTTTTCGCAGATCTGTTCTCTCAGTCAGTCGAACAAGAAAAAAACAGGGGGACCAATGAAACGTACAACAACCAAGGAATCAGTTCCATGATCCCAGTTAGGTCTCTTCTGGCAGTTGAAGAAGTGAATGACCTCTTTGTTGCCGCCAGTCCACTTGGGCGGTCCGTTCGACTTGGCGTTCAAGCCCTCGGCCTGACCCTTGTTCAACTGTGACAAGGGCGGAGTATGGGCTTGGAACAGTGGTTCAATTCAGCTGATAATTAACTTTGGTCTCGAAGGCCTTGTTGATCCTTTCAACCCTCAAGACGAGGGCTGGGTTCTCAGGCCTTCTTATACAAAGAGGGTTGGTGCGTACTGAGGTACGTACAGAGCCTTGTTGCTTGAGGCCTCAGGGTATCTATATAGCGATCTTCATACATGTGGATCTTCCTGAGTGCCTTCAACCATTCTACTTCCTTCTTCAGGCACCCGTCCTCGTTCGGTCGCCCTGCTTCTTGCTCGGTTGCTGTGATCGCTTCTGTGATGACTGGGAATTGCCTCATCTCGCTTACCAGCGTCGTCGGCAGTTCGATGGTTGGCTCGCTAGCCTGATGGCATCGAGAGGGGCTTAGGTAAATAATGCCGGTGGCTGAGGGTCTGGTCAAAGTGAGGTTGAGCCTCGCGACCTACGGCCGCCGGGCATTCATAAGGCTGATGTCAGGCATTGAGACTCTGCTAAGCCTCGGCAACCCTAACCCAGAACTATGGGCAAATGTCCGTGTGACAATAAGGCTCTTCAGCAAGCAACAGCTATCACAATACATCAGCACCTTTCGGCTACTACTCTGTTACTCTATTGTTCTATCCCAGCGATAATACTCCTGTGCTTGTAACGGTTCGTCACACCTATGTAGTAGGTATATAGCGACCTAGCTTCTCAAAATCAAGTTGCCTGACTCTACATGTGCTGTGCTTGAATATCATTGTGTGGGAGTAGGCATGTTCGAAGGCGAAATAGTAGATACATGTACAGTTGCTTTGTTAAGCTCATAATCTCCCATTACTCTGCGACCGTCCAGCAAACTGATCCCCTAGGTTGACCCCTAGCATCTCTTCTTTCGTAAAACTTCCTTCCAGTCCAAAACCCCCAGTTCCTTTAAGCTCATCCTCAAGTGCCTCAACTTTCATGTGCAGATCCTGCCTCTTCTTTGCAAGTTCTTCACTCTCTATAGCTCACTCGACACGCCTTTGCCGAAGTCTCTGTAGCATAGCCTGGATCTGCACCTCATCCCTATCCAAGTCCACTTCCCTCCTCCACAGCTCAATGGTCTTGAGGCAAACATCTCTCCATTCGATTTGTTGTAGCTGGTGGTCACGCATGCCCTTGGTCCACTCGCGAGGAAGTTGATAGGCTGGGACATTGTTTGATCGTGAAGATTGGGGCCTTGAGACGTAGGCGGTAAACAACAGGAACCTGTAGTCGCACAACCGCATCATTAGCAGATGCGCGAAAGAATGCATCTTCCAGAAAAGCAATGGCGGGAGCAGAAAGGAATACCTAGGCCTATTATACGAAGACCGATCGTCTCGTCGACGTTGATGGGTTGACTCGTTGAGCAAGGTTTGATTGATGCAGCGTCGGACTTTGCTCCTCGCTTGGACAAACAAAGTTGGAAGAGGTGTGGAGGTAACTTGCAAGCTCCCGTCCAGAACCGAGATTGTCATCGTGGAATTCAGTGTGCGCTGCTTAGGGCTCAGGACGTGATTGCTGGTTCCTCTTTCCCAGTTTATCTGAGGTTGGTCTTTCAATGAGGACGGAGTATTCCAAACTCGCCACTATCATCAGGCGCGCCTTCCACTTGAAATCCCAGACTGGAGCATTCACGGGGTTTCCACCCCTCACCGTTCAATTGCCAAAGATCAAGTGGACGGATTTGTCTTTTCTTGTATGAGAAAGCATTTGCGCAGTTCGTGATTTCGTACCACACCTGGATGATGGATCTCATGATTTGCACCCTCACATCCTCACCTCCCTCACCACCCTCCCCTTCACAAACACCCTCACAATATTCCTATCATCTCCCGTCATCACAAACTTCTCAAAAACGGTCCCCAACCCGTCCTCGTCCTCGTCCACCATCGTCATGACCCCGTCCCTTTCCCAGTCCACCACCAACGCATCAAACTCCTTGCCCACCTCAAAATTGCCCACCTTCTTCTCAAGACAACAAACCTCGGCTCCTCCCAATGTCGCCAAATAAAACGCCTCGGCAATCTTCAACCCCTTATCCTTCCCCTTTGACTCAACCTCTTTTGCATGACTTGCAATCATGGCCTGCCTCATCGCATCCAGCATCGAAGACGAAAACCCTCCTCCGCTGTCCGTGCCCAGTCCGACTTTGATCCCCCGGTTGAGAAACTCGCGGATAGGAGCGGCCATGAACCCGCCGCCCACCGTCATGTTGCTTATCGGGCAATGTGCAACCCCGCATTGTAGCTCCTTGAGCTTGTCGAACTCGTAGGGTGTCATGTAGCAGCAGTGTGCGAGGATAGATCGCCGTGTCAAAAGGCCGTAGTGGGCGTAAAGATCTGCTTCACTGTCAAATTGGGGAAACAGCTCCTTGGTGGCAGTGATCTCCTGCTCTGCTTCGTTGAAGTGCGTCTGGATGGGTAAGTCCGGGTTCCTGGCTGCTATTTGTCCGAGTCCAGCGAGACATTCAGCGTCACAAGAGATGGCGAAGCGCGGGGTGAGGACGTGCTTCAGCAACTGCCCCTCGGGGTCAATCTTGCGGATGTGGGCAATGCAGGATTCCGTGTCTTGGAGGGACTGCTCGATTGATGCATCACGGTAGTAGTCGGGGGAGTTACGCGTCATGTTGCATTTCCCTACAAAGGCGCGTTGACCTTTGGCCAGGCAGAGATCGGCGAGGCTGTTGGTTGCCTCGGGGTGGATGGAGCCATAGTAGGAAGCGGTGGTGATGCCCTGTCGGAGGAAGCCGTCAATGGCGGATGAGTAGATGCGCTGTGCATGGGCGGGATCACGGAAGCGACCTTCGTTGGGAAAGGTGATTGCGGAAAGCCAGTCTAGGATATGTTGGCCTTGGCCGAGGCCACGTTGGGCCCATTGGGGGGCGTGGTTGTGGGTGTCGATGAAGCCGGGGATGAGGAATTGGGAGGGGGAGAGTCGGTAGAGACTGGTACTGGTGGTGTCTCTGGGAGTCATGTTAGTAATTGGAAGGAGCGTTTGAACGGAAGATGTGAGTGAGGCTGATCTGGGTCTCATGTCACGATATTCGAGCTGGTGATGAGCGTCTATCTAGTGGGCAACGGTGCACAGAGTGAAGAGAAGGTCAACCTACACGAGGCGATCGACATCTTCTGACTTCACGTCCTTGTGAAATGAAGTAATTACGCCTTCTGCGTTGACCATCAGAAGGGCAGAAGGAAGGATCTCAAGGTCATGGCCTGGTGTTGACAGTGAGTGGATGACGGCGCCGTAGAATGCTTGGGGCTTTGCTTCGTGCGATCCCATGTCTGGAATGGTTTTGGTTGTGTTGCTTCTTGCGTGTATCTATCGCAAAGGTGCAGGGTCTGTGTCCGTGTTGATCTTCGGCGTCCGGGTTCAAGATGGACGGGATCAGGGGAAGATGTGCGGGGGAAGTCGGCGCCCGGGCCGGACCCTATTCTTGTTCCTGACCCCGCTCCGTGATACGTGGCGTGCACTAACAAAAGTGCCGACCTTCTCGACAACTCGCTGAGGACACTCGCCTCCTATAACACAGAAAACATTAGGCAATGTTTTTGAAGATCTTCTTCACAATTTAACTTGTATCGAACGTGTGTTGACAGCACTTTCACCCCATATCCCCATTTCCATCTTGTTTACTCGGCGGATTCCCTTTGAGGTCCTGAATCATTAGTGCTAGCGGCCTGGCGTGCCAAGACTGCAATGCGCTGTCGTCCTCTGTCCACCGACAAGACAAGAGCACACCAGGTTCCGTCGCCCTTCACTCCTGCCCGAGTGTCCAACGCCACAGTGAGATTCACATAAAGGGCTGAAATAGGAAGCAACATCCTCCAGTCAGATTGGTCTGTCCTAGACTACACTACCTAGAGGTACCTACTACTAGGCCCGACTATCTGGTGAATAAATGACGTGCTCTTTTTACAGGCCCATTCCCAGTTCATCTCCTCCATTTTCCCTTCGGTTTTCCCCGAGTCCTCTGGGTCCAACATCAACATCAACATCCCCAACCCAAGTTAAAGTTGTCCCCAGCCATCTAAGAGCAACCATTAGGGCGATTAGAAAGGCACTGAGTAGTGCAAGTGTTTCCAATCAAAGTATCCCTGGTCAGTCCACTGACCCAGTTACCGCTAACACAGCCATTCAGCACCTTCCGAGCCGCGTTCTGCAGGTAGTAGAACTGCGCGTCCCGGACCACGTTGGCCCAGCTGATGCAGCACTGGTCGCCGCCCTGGCTCAAGCACACGGACCGAGGAGACTGCGGGATGGATTGGCCGGAAAGGCTGTTGATCAAGTTGTTGCACACGGGCGCGTAGGCCCTGTGGGAGCCGGAGCACGTCTGGAGGTTGGAGCCGCAGCGCTTGTCGAGGTCGGCGGAGACTGGGGAGCGGGCCGCGATGGGGGTGGATTCCTCTTCGCCGTACCTGTATCAATGGGGATTGGGGGTCAGTGATGTCCTGGATGGTATGACGAGTGAGATGTGGTAAGCACGAGGAGGTTTTACCAGGTGATGGTCCCTTCTGCAATCTCGGTCTGCTCGATGATGACGAGACCATCCTCAGCCAGAGCCGGGACAGGACTGGCGGAGGCAATGGCGGCCAGGAAGACACCGATGGCAACAATCTGCTTGGTGAGCATCTTGGGCGTTGTTCTGCTGACTGGTTGTTAGTTCCATGTCTCGCTCGAGTCTCGAGAGATGATCCTGAACTAACCGGTTGAAAGGCTTGGAAGCGGTGGGTTGAGATTCTTTCTAAGGATGTTGTCGTGGAGGATGCTGATGAAAGTGAGATATACAGAACAAATTCTGTGGAACTTCTTGACTTTTATACACGAATCTTCTCGCCGAGACCGAAGACCAGCCTGGAGATGCTACCTTTCACACATTCTCTCGCCAAGCGTCCATGACAAAGCGCCAACACCTCTTCGAGCAGAATCGAGCTGGCCCAGACATCGCCATGTATCATCGTGAGGCTTGACTGAGTGTTGATGGACGGTCGCCTGAACATTCGTGCATCAATCATGAGGCGAGGATTGGTTCACATGGAAAGGTTCCTGTCCTCGCTTGGACCTCACTCCTTCAGACCAACGGTGCCGAGTAGCGTACCCATATTGCCTGCAGTGATGGCTACTACTCACAGTGTCATTTTCGCTGACGCCCAGCCGCTTCGCCTTCTTACTCGAGAGGTTAACCTTGGGGTGCTGAGTAAGTCTTCTTCAGGCGGGCTACTAAAGAACGCGGGGAAAAGCCAGCCAAGGGAGGTGGTGCTGGGAAGTGGGCACGCCCAGCCAGGCTGACAGGCAGTGCGGCTGACACACAGTCGGCCGGGCACGAGACTATTACGGGATTCGCTTGGTACCGAAAGGATGATGGCGTTATTCCAGAACCGCATCCACCGTCCCCTGGTAGTCCCACTAGGTATACATGTAAGCACTACCTCTCTTCCCGCCAAATCCGATCCCGGCAGTATGTGTCTCAAACCTCCGATCCCAGTATGTATCCTAACCGAGCTCCCTCCTTCATCAACGACCCTCATGACATGCATTTTCTGTATTGCAGCCTGGTCCGCTCCCTCTCCCTCAAGCGGTCGCTTGCTACAGAGAGGAAAGTTCAGCTTAAAGGTAAAATATTGGTCGAGCTGTTCAGTAACGCTTTCTGACCACGGCGGGTACATATAACCGGGGATTTCAAAGCTGTGTGTCACTACCTACTCTTCTCAATGAACCCCCTTCTCTTCTGCAGCGGTATGTACAGCGCTTCAACGGCATGAAATCTGGCTGAAGAAGTTTATAGCGGCACGGGGGTCACATCCGAGTATCTTGGCTGACTTTGGCAGCCCCTTGGCGTAAGGATGTATGTAACCTTCAATGTTGCTTCGTACATTGGCACAGGAACTGACCGAGACGCTATCCAGACAGGTCAATGGCTAAAACTCCAATGCTACAGGAGAGGGAAACATCTTGGTACCACTACAAAATATCACTCGTCTTAAAGCGTCATCCCGCTTACATTACAACAAACCAAGCCAAGCTGCTGTAGCGCTAACACCTTGTACCGCAGGTCAAACGACTGCGGATATCTTCCCTCCTTTCATGTTCCTCTCACATATGCAAGTTCAATTTCCCACAACTCCATTCTACCTACAGCATCCACGTCCTCTCAGTGCGCCCCATCAACTCCATCCCTTAGGTACCTAGTCTCCTTCCAGTCCATGTCCTCACTCTAAGCACACGCATTAGGCCTATTACTCAAACACTGCGTCATGCATTTCCTGGTCCCTTGTGATGATCCCACGTACGTATTCCTCGTCAGTCCGCTGACCATGTATTTTCCATCCCTTTAAACTTGCATTGATAAATCAGCAGCTTTGCCGGCTTTGTCAGCTCATCCTGTATCCCACTCTTGACGCGCTTCTCCCACGATATACAACACTGGTTGCCGTGCTGGTCCTTGTGGCACATGGATTGGCTGGCGAGCATTTCCTTGGTCAGTTCCTCGCCTACGCGCGGGTTGACGAGGTCCAAGCAGGCGTCGCGGCTGGCGGCGAAGTCGTCCCGTCAAGTGGGCTCAAGATTGTCGTTGGACTTGGAGCAGCCGGCGCTAAAGATGTTCACGTCGTCGTCGTCGTCGTCGTCGACGCCGGTGGTGGTGTTTTGGTAGATGGTGGTGATGGCGTTTAAGGCCTGGCCGTACCAGGCTAGGGTGCCGTTGCTGGGTATCGCTGTTCGTTTGAGGATGACGAGACCGGGTGGTGGTACGTCTTCTGGAATAAGAGATGCAGAAGCAGAGAAGATGGCGGTGGTGGTGACGAGAAAGCTGATAATAGCAGATAACTTTTGGTAGGATATATGATGGTATTGATATAAAGGAATGGAAGTTTGCGTTTTGAACTCTGTGGATTCGGATGCAGACGGACGGGATGTTCAAAATCGAGGCAGGCACCTTCAAAACTGTGAGATGTAGTACTTGCAGGGTTCAATATTTTCGATGCCGATCTGGTACCAAAGGTGTGGATAGGTGCCACTCAAGGTAAGGTAGGTAGTGTTTGCTTTGCTGTCAAAATTGGCAAAGTGAAGCGGGAAGAACAGAAATGCTTTTCCAAGTACATACAACCAAGAATTGCATCTTGTGCAGTCGAGCTCTTTCAATCTCCCTCTTATATGCACATCCCATCACTCAATCTTTTGCAGCCCCAGCCCTCATTGCCCTTCATCTTCCGTTGTAATCCATTATATCGGTCAAAGAACGCATGTAATGTTTTCCAACAGTGGTGTTTTGTCAAATGTTTGACACAATCAACACGAGTAAATGGAATGCTGTCAAATAATGTCCAACCAACACAAAAGGGCTTGGTTCTGCTGGGTAACACGCAGAATTGACAGTGCCAACATGAACAAAGTGCCAATAGACCATTATGTCTTTTACATACCGGACGAGGTGAATTTTCGCGGATAACGGGATTCTTTCCCTTCCGTGGTATATCTCCCCAACACTCCAACATATTGTCTTCAGTTCAGGCACCCATGAGGCCTATTACTCAAACACTGCGTCGTGCACTTCCTTTCCTTGCCCTCGCCCAACATCACATCTTTCACCAACCCGCTCAGCATCGTAGGGTCCCCCGGCTGAAAAGCTTCTCTGTAGGGCCCCGGCGCACATTTTTCCAACACCGTCTGGGCCGCGTCACAGAGGTGTCCCATCTTGAACGTCCAGTTTATCGGCTTGGGAACCTTCTTGCTCTGGACCTCGTCTGC